TCACATTTATGGCTTTATACTTTTACCCACTCGTACGGGCTAAAACAGTTTCATTGAACGCAAACAAAAATGACAGTTCTCATTTCTATACCTCAATAAGCATAAGCTTAAGCTGCGATGATCTCGATTGCGAGAGCTGATTGATTAGGACTGGGGCTTAGACACATCCTCAATCATTATCCGGGACACTGATTGCCATCCAGTGTAAGCGTCACCCAAAGTATTGCCAGGACACTGTCCTACCCACAATTCCACTCCAACCAGTATCCCTCAAATGATCGATGATGAAGCAGATTGGAAATCCCAGATAGCCCATTGCTGTAAAACAGCAGCTTCGATTGTCATTGGTCCACTGCACTTCGTTACCATTAAACTTCAAGAACCATCTCTTACACTTAACAGGACCATAGACTCTCATATTTCCCTAGAGAGAGAAATCGTCGTTACTAACGATTGTACAATAATTAAAGCCGTAGAACTCGCTAATTTCATGTATACTGCGATCTATTCCTTCTCGTCCAAACATGAATTTAAGCTAGAGCTTGAGCAATTTCACACATCGCGATGGACGCGTCCTTGACAGTCAGTTAAATTCTAGAGACATTTAATGCGTACCAGTGCAGAATTTATAAGTTTGATTTCTGCTCCTACAATTTCCACATCTTTCGATTTTCGCAATCTGGTAAAGGGGAGGTTGATGGGTATCGTTCTATCTCCAAGCATTTTTTCTTGCAGACAATTTAGAAATCTTTATTTGTCGCTTTCCGCAGCATTAAGATCGTTTAGACACCCTACAATCATGGGCCAAAGCAGTTGAGACGCTCCCCGAAAATGACCTGTTTCGTTGAACGCGTGAGTTTTTCAATCTCCAATTTTCACACTTCGACCCCCTCTCCCCTTTTCACTGTTGTAACCACATGACAGTGTCCACGGAGCGTATTTCAACATTGAAATGGGGGAGAGGGGGGTTTGTCTATCGACAAAAAAGATGTTTTTGAAACTACGGAAGGACACCGATAGAGAGCGTTTGTTTTGCTCAATTGTGTCAACACTTTTGTCGTTGGTAATAGATGTCCAACAGTAGCAATGAAATAATGAAAGAATGAGTGATGCGAATGCAGCCATAACACTACTGGAAAAATGACGTGAAAAAATGTTCAGGCTCTGAATGGGATTCGAACCCACGACCTTTGCGTTACCGATGCAACGCAAAGGTCGTGGGTTTGAATCCCGTTCAGAGCCTGAAAAGTTTTTCAGGTCATTTTTCCAGTAGTGTTATGGCTGCATTCGCATCACTCATTCTTTCGTTACTTTTGTCCTTGAATTGTAGTTCATAAATGTAATGAACACATCAATCAGTTTAGTAAATGCACCCCTGGCGTAGAGTAAAAGCATTGCCGGATGTTCTATTTTAGGGCTGTTATCTCAAACTACAACAAAATTGGAAAAATACCAAGACACACACGTTGAGATGAAAATGGAACGAGAGGGTTAAAGGTGACAGCTATCGTTGAACACACGCATTCCTAAATTTACTAAAACACGAATATGCTATCCAACGGCACGTCCCGTTTAACTCAAATAAAGGACTTCCCTGTGTAAGGGTTTAATGTTTAACTTTGAGTACGCTTTGGCTATCAAGGCTCAAGGCAGTCGTTTGCTTTCTTGAAACGAAAGAGGCGCGTGAAATCTGAGAGTGAAAGGCTTTGGGAACAAGATGGGATGAAAGAGGGAACAAAAAATACGAGATGGCCCAGAGGTAAGTGCTTTCGTCCCCTTACCCCATTGCCCACAAAGTTTCTTTTTAGCCTCGTGCGCCAATCGTTCACAGACTACGAATACTCTCCAAAAAGGAGATTTTAGACGGAACGCGTAATACCTGCCATTAAATCCAATTTATTTTTTAAGTACTCATACAGTGACATGGTACATTTCAACTAAAAAGCATTTCTGAGACATTAGTGCGATGCAACTACAATCTGGGCAGTACTAATGTAGATAGTACACCGAGCAAAATCTTAACGGAAAAACGTATTGATCAAGAAGTGTCTTGGAATTTTTAGTAACTGTTTTGTAGTGAAATCAGCTTTTCATCATTAATTAAGTCATGTGCAAACTAGAAACTGTCTTAATTCATGAATTTCTAGACTTTCTACTTTATAACAAGTTTATCGGCTACACTGATCACATTACTTTTACGCAGTCTTGTGGTTAAAATGGATTGTTAACACAAAATAAACTCTCAATCCAAAGCAGTGATGATATCAATAACGAAAATTGATTAATTAGGACTGGGACTTAGACACTTTCTCAATCATTATCCGGGATACTGAATGAATGATATTGAGAATCAGGAATTTTTATGCAGTGGCTTTTTGTGAATTGCGCTAACTGACTGTGCTTAATAAGCAAGCATTACTATTCAGCCGAACCTGCTTAAATTTTTAACTCGGCTGATATGATTTTTTATTCTATTTTTTGCGACAGGATTAAGAAAACTTGGAGAGAATTGGAGAAAGCCAAAACGTCAAACAGAGAGTATATCAAGTAGGGGTCATGAAAACCAATTTAAAATAGATGTTTTTGGATACAATGACAGTTCAAAGAAACCAGGCTAGGTTGAATTGTCCACGATGGTCTAAATTTCTCCTCTGTCAGAAGTCAATGATTTTTAACAATAGTTTTCAAATATTATTAAAATTGCAAAGATAAAGTACAGAACTGAGAAATACACAAGAGCATTGCAGTGTTTTCAGCAGTGATAAGAACTTTTTTAAAAGATAACTAGCAGCGGAACGCCTTGATATTATCGTAACGACTTAATTTACTATGGACGTTTTCAACTCTAATGATTATTTTTGTTTCTGAACATGCATCAGATATATATTCCAGCATTGAAATGTAACGAACGGATTCTTTGTTCATAAATGTAATAAACACAAGAATCAATTTAATAAACGCTTCGCTGGCGTAGAGTGAAAGCATTGCCAGATGTTCTATTTTGGGGCTGTTATCTCTGAGAAAACAACAAACTGGAAAAATACCAAATGGACCGAGAGTGTTCAAGGTGACAGCTATCGTGGAACACACATATTCTAGAATTTACTTAAACACGAACATGCCATCTAACGACACGTCCAGTTTAACTCAAATAAAAGACCTCCCTGTATAAAGGTGTGATGTTAAGCTTTGTGGTAGTTTTAGTCAGCGAAGCAGTCGTTTGCTTTTTTGGAACGAAAGAGGCCCGTGGAATCCGAGAATGAGAGGCCCTGCCAACAAGAATGGGTGAAAGAACGGAACAAAAAGTACGAGATGAGGCAGAAGAGAGTGCTTTTATCCCCTACCCCACACCCCATAATTTTTTTCCGCCTCGTGTCCCAATCGCTCACAAGCTGCTTATGCTCTCCAAAAGTAAACCACTGTTACGAAGGCTAAACGATTTTCAAGAAACACGCGATAAAAATAAATAGATATGTCACTTTGTCTCAGTTTCATGGTATTTAGTACTGCTGTGCTAATTGAACACTATAAATGAGGAAACAAATATTGTAAATAGAACTGAAACTTGTTTAATATCGTCGACTATCACGCGATAGAAATCGTGAAAAAACGCACGAATTTAATGCGTCTCGTAGTTACCTAGACGCACTTAATGTTCGACGAATTATGCGTCTGAGACACATTATTCGTCTTCTTAAGTAAATGCGGCCGTTAGGAACAAAAAAGACTCTTCGTCATTAGAAACTTTTAGATTCACGTTTCCCGCGAACGGCTAACCGCTAGGGATCACGTGATCAGGGCCAGACGTCACGTTTGAGGTTTTCGACTTGCGTTTTGAACGTTAAGAAGTAGGTTTTCACGTAAGTAATTTACCACAAGCTTTATAGTAGTGTAGCACGCTCTTAGGGGCAGTAGCCAATCAGCGTTCAGCAAAAAATGACGTGGCATTCTCTCGACCAATCAGATTGCAGCATTTGCCATTTTAGTGTACAAGTCAGCGGTCATTATTCATCGAAATATGACGTCACAGGTCAAATGTCCAAATAAGGGTCGTCAGCTGCTCGCGCGCGTCAAGGTCAAAGGTCAAGGGTAGCCGTAGTCGTCAGCTGCTCGCGTGCGGTCAAAGGTCAGGTGTAGCCGTAGTCGTCAGCTGCTCGCGCGCGGTCAAAGGTCAGGGGTAGCCTTAGTCGTCAGCTGCTCGCGCGCGGTCACAGGTCAGGGGTAGCGGTAGTCGTCAGCTGCTCGCGCGCGTCAAGGTCAAAGGTCAGGGGTAGCCGTAGTCGTCAGCTGCTCGCGCGCGGTCAAAGGTCAGGGGTTACCGTAGTCGTCAACTGCTCGCGCGCGCGTCAAGGATTTTTGAGGAGTGCGTAGCGCGTAAAAGGTCTCAATTGACACAATTTAAATGTGAATAAATTTTTAATTATAAAAGTAACAAATGTTTTTACATTTGAGAAACGACGGATCTAATGTGAATAAATTTTGTTTGTTATAAAAGTAACAAATGTTTTTACAATTGAGAAACATCGGGTCTAATGTGAATAAATTTTGTTTGTTATGAAAGTAACAAATGTTTTTATATTTGAGAAACGTCGGATCTAATGTGAATAAATTTTGTTTGTTATAAAAGTAACAAATTGTTTTTACATTTGAGAAACGTCGGATCATTGTCCGTTGATCAAAATGTGAATAAATTTTGTTTTTTACTATTGATCAGTTCGTGGCGGAGCTACAACAGCTCCATCAGGGTCTCCACGTTGTCCATGTCGGCATCGTCTAATTCGGTCGGTCGGTTCCACTGGTAACCGTAAGGGTAGGACTGGAAGGTCTGGCGATCGACGACGCGTTTATCAAAGACCAGTCCGTACTGTTTGGTGCGGGGTCCCACTCGGATCTGTTTGGTGGCGGGATCACGAGTGAAGAAGTAGGGGTTGACGACGGGAATGTTCCTTCGTTGGTCGAGCGGATTGGTCAACTCTTCCAGTAGGTTTTCTCTCATGACGTCATAGTTGAGTTGTTGGGAACCGCGTACATTGAGAGTGAACCCTCGCACTTTGCAGCAAGACTTTGCCGAGTTTGGTCTTGTAGCCGTAATTTTTGGGTCCGGCCGAAGTGAAGTCGACGATGTAATCGTCCGCGTCCAGCTCGTTGGTCATATCGCCCAAGTAGTCGCCTAGGGGAATGTCGGCTTGACCGGGTTTGTGGGAGTAGATGACGGAATCGGTGTCGAAGTACAGCACTTGTTGCTTCAGTTGGTCGAGATACGAATAGAGCTTGAGACGGGCCCAGCAGGTGGTGAAGGCGGCCACGAAGATGTTGACGCGTCCGTTATCGATTTGGTTCTCGCGGAGGTCTAGGTAATCTATTTCGAGGACGTCGTCGGAGCAGATCCGGATGGCTCGGATGTCGTGAAAACTGTTGGATGCCAAACCGAAGAGTTGAGCTTGCGATGTGGCGGTTTCGGTGTGTTTCTTGTGGAGGTTTTCTCCGAACTTGCCCCAGAAGGAGTTGAGCATGAGTTTGGCCGTGGCTTTCCGGCCGGGATTTTTCTGGATCATGGCGGTGTCGAGGGAGATGCCTTCTCTTTCTTTGTATTGGCGCACGTAGCGTAATTTGTCGTCGGGGGTGAGGCACCAGCCGGGGTACCCGGCGGATTCTTGTTTGATTTTTAGCCAGGTGTTGACGTAGTCGGCAAAGAGACCCTTGCGTCTTTGCTTTGGGGGAAAATGCCACACCTCGTGAATGTGCAGGACGATGTACCCCTGTCGAACGGCTTCTTGAATTTCGGGCGTGCACCAAGTTCCGCGCAAGGCGCGTTGAGTCTCCGTGTGCGAGCACCGCCACGATTTGTCCCGCTGAGGAAGCGGAATTTGGTCTTGGACGCAGGAGCGGCACAGAGGAAAGGTGAGTTTACCGGCCTGGTGATGCGGTAGCACGGGATGGTAAAGGTGCGGAGGTGGAAGGATGTCGATGTAGGGCATGCCGAAGTAGTGGTGGATGTCTTGGTCGGTGGGGTTGGTGAGGATCTCGCGATGTCCAACGGGGTATTCGCAAGTCTTGTTGACCCACGGGTACAGGGAAGTCACGTCCACGTATCTGATTTGTTCGCCCTGGCTCTGGTCGACGGAGTGGTGAAGACGCACGGCGTTGGTTCTGCCAGCGAAGAAGGCAATGCGCGGTTCTAGGGGGTCCACTTTCTGGTAAGTGGCCAAGAATCGTTGGAGGGCCTCGTTGGTCTTGACCTCCCGATCCCAATCGCACTCCCACATGATCTTGAGATGGTAGCCGTGCTGCTTGAGAAGGGTCTGTTTCTTGAGCATATGCTCGTGCATTTCTTGAAGGGTTCGATCGGGATTTAGATTGCTATATCTGTCCCGTTGGCGGGGATGGCAACGAGAGCATCCGTGCCGGAGACAGCCGTGGAATTCGTACACGGTGTTGTTGTGTACATCCAGGCCGTCTACCAGGACGTTTGCCACT